GAAGAAGAAGAAGAAGAAGAAGAAGAAGAAGAAGAAGAAGAAGAAGAAGAAGAAGAAGAAGAAGAAGAAGAAATAGTTATTGTTGTTGAAGTTCTACCCACGCATAGATAGAAGGTTATTTACTAAAGCAAGGGTGGCTTACCAGTGGCTTACCCCGCTAAAGAAAACGACACCCCTACATCCAACAACTTTTAACAGACAATAGTCCCTTGTGGGGAGACAGAACCTTGTGGACCTATCTTCCATCCATGATGAAAGGTTAATGGTCTCAGTCTTGTGCAGGCCTTGTGCATGTAGTCCCAGCCTCAGGGTAATGACTATGACATACCCTGAAGACATCTCTCTGCTACACATCGCCCCACCCTTTGGCTTTTCCATCCCTGTTTTTCTCTTCTTCAGTGTTCCCTCAACCGTGGTATGCTACACTCTTACTATCTGATATTGCCTTTAGCTCCTAATAATTTCTTCAAATAAAAATCAGCACATCTGTTTCACAAATGAGAACATGGAAATTTAAGGACATTAAATAATTCATCTAAGATTCCATAGCTAGTTAGTGTCATAAGCCAGATCCAAATTCCAAACTCATTTAACATATCATTTTTCCCCATTTCATCTTTATCAAGTTCCCTGTTCTTCATGGTGCTTCTTCCTTGATAGTGAAATTATATTGAGAAAATAACTGAAAAATATTTCTGTCACCTATCTCCCTGGCGTTTCCTTTAAATTACCCAAACAGTATTGATTCTTAGGACAGTTACTGAAGAGTGGGAAAACCCTAAAGAAACAACTTAGATATTCAAGAAGGGATTGGAAAACAATTGTAGAATACATTCATAAATGGAATACTAAACAAACATAAAGAATGGTTATGTGGGGTCTGGAGAGATGGTTCAGTGGGTAACAGCACTTGCTGCTGTTTAGAGGACCCAGTTCAACTCCCAGAACGCACATGATGGCTCACAACCATCTGTAACTCCAGTTCTAAGGGATCTGACGCCCTCTTCTGGCCTCCATGGGCACTGCATTCATATGATGCACTTAACATGCAGGGAAACACTCATAAATATAAAATGAAAATAAATAAAAAACAAACTTTTAAAAAAGAATGATTATGCATATAGGTAGTTTTTGACACAGAAATATGCCCTTAGTATTCATCTGACTATAAAGGAAAGTCAAGAATAGAATGTTCTTATTTTAGGGGAAAAAAAAAAGCAAAGAAAGAATTTATGTCACTATTGAAAAGTCCTGCTCCAAATGTTACCAGTAGTTGCAGTAATGTGGTTGGTAGGATTCTGGTAGACAGTTTTTCTATTGCATCTAAGTTTGGGGAGGGGGATTTGTTTGTTTGTTTTTGTTTTTTGAGACAGAGTTTCTCTGTGCAACAACTCTGGCTGTCCTGGAATTCACTTTGTAGACTAGGCTGGCCACAAACTCACAGAGATCCAGCTGACTCTGCTTCCCGAGTACGGAGATTAAGGGTATGCACCACCACTGCCAAGCTTGTTTTTTTTTTAATTTCTATTATATCATTTTCCTTGATAAAGTTGCTTCTTTATGTAAGGAAGAAAGAAAATGGT